CTTAGTTTTTTCTTTCTAATATCCAGGCAGTTAAAACCTTTTCTATTTCAAACACATTCAGCTTCATTCAATTTTAAGTTCATCCTTGTCTTAGAGATGGGCAGTTGATAGCCGCAAATCTGCATGCGAGAGTGTGAAACTGAATCATCCAGAAACACATGTGAGTATAGGTGATCGTTTATTGGATTTTAGAAAATTATTCCCTCAGTTATTTGAAATATTTAAAATATAACTTGGGTTTGTTATAGGTCAGAAATGAAACTGCTGATGATTTTCTGGACCTATTAAGGGAGTGGGAAAAACTATGTAAGCGCTATAAGGTCAATGATGAAGAAAAAACGCGACTATCACGGTCAAAAGTATCTGATGATAATTTGAAGTCCACCAAGGATGAACTTCCAACTTCTGAGTATGAGGTTTCGAGCTTAGTTGACATTTGTTATGGTGATCCAACCGAAACAGGCAAGCGTGGCTTAAAGTTTATGGTAAATAATTTGCCTCTTTCTAGCAGAACAAATAATGAATTTGTCTGTTTTTGTTCGTCTCTACTCTGTCCTTCTGAATTTTCCTCGTTGTGTCCCTTTTTCAGTCTTGTCAAATCTGAACCACTAGTCAACTAAATGATTTTCTAAAGAATTCTGTTTTAATAAATTATCAGAAATAATATTTAGCAGCTGATCTTGCCAAGTAATTTGATCAAATCTGTGGTTGGATCTAAATTTTGCTACCTTAAAAAGTTATTGCTTGATATACTGATTCTAATTTCATTAGGTTCATTGGAAAGGCTATGGTTCAAGTGAAGATACATGGGAACCAGTTGAAGGTTTAAGGTCAATTCTTATTCTTTAGTGCTTTTCTTATTTTACCCTCATTTTCCTTTTTTCCCCCCCTCATCTTTTGTCTTCTGTAGTAACTGCCAAGAAGCAATTAAGGATTTTGTGAAAAGAGGTTTGAGACAGAAAATTTTGCCACTTCCTGTAAGTGACTAGTCCTATTCACTTTGTAAGCGGGCTATTATATTTGAGTTCTTCAATTGACTCTAACGAATAAGTTATATGTCAGGGAGATGTTGATGTTATTTGTGGTGGTCCTCCTTGCCAAGGAATCAGTGGCTATAATCGCTATAGAAACATCGACTCTCCGATGGATGATGAACGAAATCGCCAGATAGTTATCTTCATGGATATAGTGAAATTCTTACGGCCTAAATTTGTATTGATGGAAAATGTGACTGACATTTTGAGATTCAATCAAGCTTCTCTGGGAAGATATGCAATGAGTCGTTTGGTACATATGAATTACCAAGCAAGACTTGGTACAATAGCTGCTGGATGTTTCGGTCTTCCACAGTTTCGGTTGCGTGTCTTCCTTTGGGGTGCTCATCCTAATGAGGTGAACTTCATCAATCCTTCCATTCTGATCTTTGTAAAGGTCTCTTTCTTATAAGAGTTCATTCTTTTCATTAAGTTTTTTCATCTGTCATGTATAGAAACTACCTCAATTTCCACTTCCAACGCATGAAGTAATTGTTAGATATTGGCCCCCACCAGAGTTTGAGGTAACTTTAGTTTGAGCTAGTGAATTTATTTTAATCTTATATTTATATTAACATATTTGGTCTATATTTGCAGCGAAACACTGTTGCATATGATGAAGACCAACCCCGTGAACTTGAAAAAGCCGTTCTTCTTCAAGATGCCATCTCTGACCTCCCAGCAGTACTTGCACTGTTTTGGACTTGAAATTCTCATCTTTAATCATCTAACAGAACGGAACATTTTATGTACAATTTTGTTAAAATCTGCAGGTATTGAATTCTGAGTCTCGGGAAAAAATGCCATATGAAAAGCCTCCAGAAACAGAATTTCAAAGATACATAAGATCATCTCAATATGGTGAGATTTCATGTATTGCAAATCATTAATGTCATCCTTTTTCCTCCTTGTAATTTGCTTCGGAAATGTTAATGTTAATGTTAATGTTAGTGAATTAAAGAAACAACAAAAAGATGCTATGCAAAAATAATGAGTCCACTCATGACTAAGTTCTGATTCTCTTGCTCTTGTTTATTTTCAGAGATGACAGGCTGTGAAGCAAACAAGACAAGTACAGATTCACTATATGACCATCAGCCATACTTGTTAGGCGAAGATGACTACTTGCGAGTTTGTAACATTCCAAAGAGAAAGGTTGTTTAATAATTCTCTTACAGTTGGATTCATCATTAAGATATTGTTCTTACATTATGATTATGTATAGGGGGCAAATTTCAGGGATCTTCCTGGTGTAATTGTGGGAAATGACAATGTTGTTCGGCGAGATCCAGAAAACAATGTATTACTACCATCAGGAAAACCAATGGTTAGTGCTCTAAATTTCTTTATGAAATTCCTTGAGCGTTTTGGAGTTTATTTCCCTCATGTTTTGTCAAATAAGTTCAATTTGATGAACTCAAAACTTGAGTAAGTGGTGAAATTAATAAATTTTCAAAACTAATTAAGAAAGTAATTCTTATGCAACGAATAAATTACACAAAATTTAACCAACAAAAAGTCTATAAGAACATAGAAGTTTTGTATCAATTGAAATAAAACTTAATAATTATCGCCTTCATGTTTTGTTTTCTAAAAAAATTTCAGGTACCACACTATGCTTTCACTTTTGAACATGGAAAGTCGAGAAGGTTTGTTATCTTTCATTTAATTAGCTGTCTCGTGGAATCTCTAGCTTAAGTGTATCATATTCTGGTTGTGCAGACCATTTGGAAGGTTGTGGTGGGATGAGACAGTGCCCACAGTAGTGACTTTCCCAAGTTATCACAGCCAGGTTTCTTCTTCTCCTAATTACCATTTGTCTTCTTGTTTCCTGTTTCTTCCTTCTGATGATTGCTTCTACTCATTTAACAAAAGTCTCCAAATAAAATTTCCAAGAAAAGAGAAAACTGCAATGGAAAATGCGTTGCAAATTGGATCGTCGAGATATATACTTTTGTAAACACTTCGATTATTGAGATTAGTTGCTACCCGTTGGAGAATTTCTTCTCTCTGAACCACGTAAATCTTTGTCTCTTTGTTTAATTTCTGTTTGTGGGTGTATAAGTACAATCAATTTTGCTCCTGCATTTGCTACAACGAAATGATTACCAAACAACTTTATAGTAAATACTTGATTATAAATTTTTTAAAGAAACAATCAGCAATTTTACATTAAAAAATAAAATTGAAAAAAGGTGCACCAGTGTCTAGAGTTTTTAAATCTTGTGATTTGTGGGATTTTTGTGTTCCAAGTGTTTTGTAATTTATATTACAGGTAGCATTACACCCGGAACAAGATCGAGTACTGACCATAAGAGAATATGCAAGATTGCAAGGGTTCCCTGACTATTATAGATTCTTTGGGACTGTCAAAGAGAGGTCAGTATCCTTCTCTCTGCATTTTGGAAATGCTTTCTTATTCTCAGCCAAATTTCTAAATCTTTCTTTTGTATAATTGATTAGAAAAACAACAATCTTTTAGTTCGTTTTTGTTTATGAAAATGATGAATTCAAATATTTTAGAGTTTAGGGTTTTTAAGCATAGTAGAAACAAAATAGTTATCAAATGGACCTTGAAATATATAGTCGGTTATGAATATAAACGCTGCAGATATCGTCAAGTTGGGAATGCGGTTGCTGTATCGGTTTCACGGGCGTTGGGTTATTCCCTTGGATTGGCAGTGAGAAGAATGGGAGGTGATGAACCATTGATGACACTTCCTCCCAAATTCTCTCTTTCTAACTACATTCAATTCCAAAAACCACCTGAAAAGAAGGATACTGATTAGCATTTGATCTCTACCTGTTCCTGTTCTGTGGTTGTTTAGCTTTTGATACTCTGAAATGGTGTTTTTATTCTTGTTAGAGCACACCCACACTTGATCTCAAACCTTACTAGTAGTAGTAGAAGAATGTAATTCCCATTTTTGTTTCATGTTCCTCCCTAACCCTTCAGAGGCGTATGTTTCAGCGATATTCTCGAATCCCGAGATGGGTTTGAAATTCCTATGTTTATTGGGCAGGAACGTAAGATATTGAACATTCTATTTATTTTGTATTAGTTTCTTTATTTATTTTGGGAACCTTGGTGTGTTCATTTATTTGTCTCATATTTATTAGCCCAACTTTGGAAGAAATACGAGTATTTTTTAAATAAACGAACAATTGTTCAGCTTGTTTATCGATAGAAAATCCGTTCACCTCTTCCTCGGGTAGATTTATCCACTTTTTTACTTGAAATGAAATGTTGCTTCAAAAATGTTTTCTCATTGTCTAGTGGTTCAGGACATCTCTCTTTTAAGGAGGTAGCGGGGATATTCCCGAAACTCACAAAGAAAAAAGGAAGTGAGTTAGACAAAAAAAAAAAACGAAGCGCGGGAAGGATAATATTTCTCTTAGTTGTCCATAGAAAAAAAAAGATTTTTCTATTTGTAATTTCAGAAATATTAATTGAAATTTGAAAATAAAATATAACGGTGCATTTTATAATAATTTGATTTTTGGTTTTTTAAAATTATGTATATAATATTAAGGTTAGTTTTTATAAGAATTTAACTTTTTTTTTTGTGTTTTATCTATATTTTCAAGCACCCAATCAAAATTTGAAAAAAAAAAAAAAAAAAAAAAAAAA